CATCAAGGGGTTCAACTAATCAGATGTAGAGAAGGTGTTTCTACATGTCGGGTGAGTTGGAAGCGGGAGCACTGGGCTGACACATGAAAGAGTCCATCTGTTTTTATTTCTCCATATCATTTAAAATTGTGGACTGAAATGAGAAAAGAACTGATTCAAAACGGAGGATCGCTACGTGTTTTTGAGAGCAAGTAACCTGACACTCATTGTGAACCAGAGGTCAAAGTTGTAGTTTGCAGACGAGTTGGTACCGAGGGGCTGTGGAGCTTTGGTTGGCAACAGGAAGCTGATTGGTCTGTGGACGAGTGACTGGTTATCGATGACAACACACACAACATCAAAGTGTGGCTTTAAAGTTCTACTGCAGAACACCACTTATCATAAAGAAATGTAAATTAGGACAAAAGAGTTGAAACTACTTTTGGGATGAGGGTAGACTTAAAATGCTGACTGTATTCACAATTTTATGGGGGACTTTTCTCCGTTTTGATCGACTCTTTGTACTGTTATCTGATACTGAAGCAGTCCGTGTCCAAATATAACAAGACCTGGACAATATCTAGGCTTGGGCTGAAAAGAGTCAAGTAATATTCATCACACACAAGTGCCAGACAATGACCATCTCCGACGAGAAAATCGAACCACTGCCCTCTTGCATTATCATCACTGAATTCCCCCACTATTAATATCCTGGGGGTGTGTGGTTACCACTGTGGGCTCGGTTAGCTGGACGGCTGGTGTGTTATGCAGGCTCATGCCAAAGTTGAGGGTTCAATTCCTGCGCTGGCTAAGGTCAACATGAAGGTCATAACTTCTCAGTCTCTCCACTCACCAGAAGGGTGGTGACCATCAGGTTAAACCATCCCCAGTTGTCTCTAATGGGAGAGCATTTTATAGTCCTCAGCAACTATGGTGACTTTACCATTGATCAGAAACTCGTCATATAAATACAGTGGCTACAAGAGCTGGTTGGAGGCTAGGAATCCTGCAATATGAAGGAAGTAACTCACCTCCTGACTCCCGAAAGCCTGTCCCCCATCTCCAAGGCACAAGTCAGGAGTGTGATGGAATACTCCCCATTGCCTGGATGGGTGCAGCGCCAACAACACTCAAGAAGCTTGACACCATCCAGCACATCAGCCTGCTTGATTGGCACCACATCCACAAGCATCCACTCCCTCCACCACCAACGGTCAGTAGCAGCAGTGTGTACTATCTACAAGATGCACTGCAGAAATACACCAAAGATCCTCAGGCAGCACATTCCAACCCCACAACCAGTGATTGTTGCCTCACAACACTAGGGACCCAGGTTCAATTCTAGCCTCGGGCGACTGTCTGTGTGGAGTTTGCACATTCTTGCTGTGCCTGCGTGTGTTTCCTCCGGGTGCTCCGGTTTCCTCCCACAGTCCAAAGGTATGCAGGTTAGGGTGGATTGGCCATGCTAAATTGCCCATAGTGTTTAAGGTGGGTTATGCAGGGATAGGGTAGGGGGTGTCTCTAGGTGGGATGCCCTTTGGAGGGTCAGTATGGACTGAATGGGACAAATGGCCTGCTTCCATGCTGTAGGGATTCTATGACAAGATCAGATAGATGGGAATACCACCTCCTGCAGTTTCCTCTCCTAACCATTCACCATCCTGACTGGGAAATATATTACCATTCCTTAACTATCACTGGGTCAAATTCCTCCTAAAGGCCAGTGTGGTTCAACTTGCAGCATGTTACCTGCTGACTTGAACTGCTGGGGCAACTAGGAATGGTCAATAAATGCTGACCCAGCCCATGATACCCAAGTCTCATGAGTGAATATAAATAAATACAAGAAAAAAATTCTGCTGATGCCAGAAATCTGAAATAAAAACAGAAAATGCTGGAGAAACACAGGTTTGGTAGTGTCTGCAGAGAGTGTTTTGTCATTCAAATTTCTGGAGTGGGACTTGAATTCACAATCTCCAATTTCAGAGGTAACAGTCTTCTCTATTGATCCACTGTTGACAACAAATAGACCCTTCGATTGTGATGCTTGCTTTAGAATTTGGGTACAAATCTAGCTCTGTCTCAACGTGTTAGTAGCAAGATGCGTTGGACAGACTCTGAATTTTTGGATCATCCTCATTTAAAAAAAACATACCAATTGTAAAATTTAGATCTAGTTCTTCAAATGAAAAGTCTTCTGAGCCTTTTATACCAATATTCTTTGGTTTGATGAAGTCAAACATTCACATATTAAGAAGAAAACACATTTCTGCAGTGATGTTCTCAATCCAGATAATAAAACAACAAGCTCACCAATGATCTGGAGCACTTACTGAAACCATTGATGCCAGAATCACCTGGTTCTCTGGTGAAGTTTGTTCCAAATTCCTCGTGCCTGCACAATACCAATCTGTTACCTCACAACACAACTGTGGTTTGATTCACTGAGCTAGAAAGAACTGCAGATGCTGGAGTCAGAAATAGCACAGTGTGTGGAGCTGGAGGAACACAGCAGGCCAGGCAGCATCAGAGGAGCAGGAAAGTTGACGTTTCCGTTTGGCACCTTTCCGAAACGTCCCGACCCGAAACGTCAGCTTTCCTGCTCCCCTGATGCTGCCTGGCCTGCTGTGTTCCTCCAGCTCCGCGCTGTGTTATCTGTGGCTTGATTCATCAGCCCAGTTTCTGGCGCACAGCCATGCCTAATATTGCGGAGAATTGGTGGACTCTCTCGGCCTATCCAACAAGCATTCCAGATTTACATTACAACTTGCCATGTAAATGTCAAGCGGTAGTTACGCTCTTCCACCAGTGGTGACACCATAGAGTGTCAGTTTTGGATCTCTCAGCCTGCATCGTCAGGGAATCCCTTAGGTTGCAATCAAGTCCCACCTCTCTGTGTCTCAAAACTGTGTGCAAAACTAAGCAATCTGAACTGAATCTGCTGTCTGTCATCCAATTAACCTCTGACCTCTAACCCTGCTCCAGAACCAGGGGTCACAGTTTAAGGATACAGGGGAGGCTATATAGGACTGAGATGAGGACAGATGTCTTCACCCAGAGAGTGGGGAAACCTGTGGAATTCTCTGCTACAGAAGGCAGTTGAGGTCAATACTTTGGACCAAAGGGATCAAAGCATATGGGGAGGCACGAACCAGTGGCTGTGGTCACAGAAACAGCATTCATATTTCAAGTCCAGTGACCCTTCATCAGAATGGAGTATACCAGACTCAAAATGTTAATTCTGTCTCTCTCTCCATGGATGCTGCCAGACATGCTGAGTTTCTCTAGCACTCTCAGTCTTTATTGCAGAATCTCAATATCTGCCATGTTTTACTTTCCGTATTAAAGCCAGCAAGGGGCTGGAAGAAATAAAAACAGAAATTGCTGGAGAAACTCAAGCAGATCTGGCAGTCATTGGGGGGGGGGGGGGGGGGGGGGTGGGGGAGGGGGAGGGGGAGGGAGAGAGACAGAGAGAGAGATACTGATAGACAGAAACAGAGTTAACATTTCACGTCCAGTTTCTGTTCTTTGAAAAAGCTGGGAACATAGCGAGTGCTGAGTGAGGGGAGGTGATTGGGGACTGTTAATCTAGGGGGGCAGGTAATGTTCTGGAGACCTGGGTTCAAATCCTGTCACAGCAGATGCTGGAATTTGAATTCAATAACTATTTGGAATCAAGTGTCTTATAATGACTACGAATCAATTGTCAGGAAAAACCCATCTGATTCACTAATGTCCTTTGGGGAAGGAAACTGCCATCCTTACCTGGTCTGGCCTACACCATGGCTCTAGACCCACAGCAACGTGGTTGACTTTAATTTTTGAAGAAGGATCACCAGACCTGAAATGTTAATTCTGCTTTCTCTCTACAGATCAGCGGAGTTATCCCAGCAATTTCTGATTTCCAGCATCTATAGTTCTTTTGGCTTTTTTTCTTGTGATCGGCTCTTAACTGCCAAATGGGCAATAAAATGCTTGCCTTGCCAGCAATAACTTCATCCCCTGAATTAATAAGAAGAAAGACTGGAAGAGGCTGAATGACCTACTGTTGCTACTATTTTACACATATCAATGCTTGGATGGCCCAGTGGTTAGCAGTGCTGCCGCACAGTGCCAGGGATGTGGGTTCGATTCCACCCTTAGGTGACTGTCTGTGTGGAGTTTGTGTATTGTCTGTGTGGATTTCCTCCAGGTGCTCTAGTTTCCTCCCACAGTCCAAACAGGTGCAGGCTGGGTGGATTGGCTGTATGAAATGCGGGGTTAGGGGGAATTGGGTGGGATACTCTTTCACTGTGAACCCAAAGGGCCTGCTCCTGCACTGTTGGGGGCTCTCTGGTTCACCCTGAAGATGACCCAGAAAGGTCTCCTCATGACATTGCAACCCCAGGTAAGTGAACAGACTGCGGAAAAGCCCAGGATCAGGCCCTTCGGCTGATTCTGTCTGTTGGATGCCATCCTAATCCAATCCTATCAATGTCCTTGCATGGATAGTAGGAACTGCCGATGCTGGAGAATCTGAGATAACAAGGTGTAGGGCTGGATGAACACAGCAGGCCAAGCAGCACCAGAGGAGCAGGAAAGCTGACGTTTCGGGTCCAGACCCTTCTGTTCATCCAGCTCTACGCCTTGTTATATCAATGGCCTGTATCTCTCTACATCATGCCTGTTGACCGGTCTGTCCGTCATCTTCTTCTTGAGGAAGGATCACTGGACCTGAAATGCTAAACTCTGATTTCTCTCCACAGATGCTGCCAGGTGTTCCCAGCAATTTCTGCTCTCGTTTCCAGTTTCTGCAGTTCTTTTGGGTTTTTTTTTTCACTCCACTTGTCTGCGTTGGCTCCCTGAAAAACTGAAAGCTCCCCTTTGACCGCACGTCATGGTTTCCCCAAGAACAATATATTTCAGATACAATAAGTTAATACAACAGTCGCCATATGCAAATTCAGGATTAATAAATACAATCGCTCAAAGTATAAAGGGGTTCGTTTTTTTTTTGTACATGCAATCCATAATCTTAAGTGAAATAATTTATATATTTTATATATTTACAGAAAAAAAAACACATAGATAACACCAATAGATGGGGGAATGGATGGAGGAAAGGCTTTTTTGGTCACATTCTGCCCGTCCGGCTAATTAATGTGCAAACGCAAGAGGTGTTAATGCGTATCCAGCGCCAACCAGCACGTTTCTGAGTGTCCATGGTGAGGGCGCGGACATAGGATTGCTTGGTCTTGCACTCGGAGATCCAGTGCCTCTTGTCGACACCACGGCAGCCACCTTGCGCTGTCGAGGATCGCTCGTTGCACTTCGTCTCGTAGAAGTATTGCTTGAGGGGCCCGGTGGAGGTAGGCACATCGATCATGACGGTGACCATCTTACCATGGACGTCTACTGCCGCTCGGCGGTCCGTCACCCAGCGGCTGACGCTGTCGCACACTGACAGGTCCCCCCTCCGGGAAGGGTCGACCCCCCCGGCTCCCGGGCTGGGGGCCTGCCGCTTCAGCCTCACCGTCCGGTTGGCCATGTCCGCCCTCCCCAGCGTCTCCTCCATGATGAAGAGCAGAGGCGGCACGCCCGGGGGCTGGGCGGCCAGGGTCACCCGCGGTGAGTACAAGTCCCACTCCCTCCCTGAGGCCTCAGGCCCGAGGGCCGGCACCTCTCCCAGCATGTCGTCAAGTGGGTAGGCGTCGTCGTCGTCGTCTTCGTCGTCGCTGAGTGGCGGGTCAGGGCTCAGGGCGTCGCCCAGGACTCCCCGGCTTCGCACCGTGCTGTTTGATTGCAATGGGGCGGCCTTCAAACTTCCAACATACAGAATGACCATGGCATAGAGGAAGGTGACCATTACTGTGCTCACCTCACACACCTACAGAGAGACAACAAGACAGTGAGAGAAGGGGGCAGGAAAGGTTCAGATATTCAATAACATAGGGGTTACTGTGCTCACCTCACACACCTACAGAGAGACAAGACAGTGAGAGAAGTGTGCAGGAAGGGTTCAGATATTCAATAACATAGGCGTTAGATAGTCCACAACATGAGGGCGTCAGGATGGGGAGTGAATGAAAGCGTCAAAAGTTACAAGCACACTTTGGTTGCAGGTTGGACATCTCCTTCAGACTGAGGCCTCTACGTGGTTCCTGATCAACCTCCTGATGGATATGATCACTCTCCTCCTGAAGCAGGTGGAACTTACCCAAAGGTAGGGACACCATGAGAAGGCCCTTTATATTTGTGGGGCCTGACCCTTTCTGTTGTTATCGTGGAACCTGATATAGCCTGAGGCCTCCATGTAGATGGTCGACCTCCTCAAGGATGTTATCGCTATCCCCTGCAGTAGGTGGCACTTGAACCCAGGCCTCCCTCCTGTCCCAGAGGTAGGGACACTACCACAGCATCACTAGACTCCCTTAGGTTGGGTTTATAACTTGGTTGCTGTGGTAAGCAATCGCTTTACATCTTATTGTGATATTTCAGATGTTAATTAAATTTAAACTCCATCAGCCGTGATGGTGATGTATGAATGCATTGGCCTCCATTAGCAATCAACCACTACCCAATCCAAATAGAAGGGGCTTAATGGTGTCGCCCAGGTACTTCCTCATCATGCTGTTTGGAACTGTTATTACACACCTCTGGAGCAGGTGTGACTTGAATCCTCCTTGTAGGGAGATGTGATACAGCCACCATGCCCTTAATCTGGGTCCCTGTTCCCATGGGTATAGAGATTATGCCAAGTGACATTTCAAGAGTTGTTGGCCTTTTCTTTTAAATCCTTAAATAGAATGTGGGCAATCCCAACAAATGTTGCAAAGCCCTAATTATCCTTGACCGGAGGGGTTCACTCAACCATCTCAGGGGGTGGCTGAGAGACATCCACATTGCTGTGGGGCAGGAGTTACATATGCCAGACCAAGGACAGCAGATGTCCCCTCCTGAAAGAGCTCTAGTGACCCAGACGGTCCTCCACAACCCCCCCATGATAGTCATTGTTACAGGCTTCATAATCCTGATTATTTCCCTCCCCCCAATTGATTAATCCATTGAATTTATGCTTCGCCCACTCCAGTGGGACTTGAATCCACGTCCCCAGAACATTACTAACCCAGTGACATTATCATGGCGCCACTGTTCTTTGGTAACAACAGTGAGTGAGGAACCATTTTGTCTCATGGGGAAACCAGAAACAGTAGACAGAGCACCACAATTAGAGCCAAGCTGTTGGAGGATGACATCAGGAAACAATTCTTTGTGAAAAGGCAAGTGGAAAATTGGACTCACTCCTCTAAAAATACTGCTAGAAGTGATTGGGATGTGAGGTGAACGATAATGGTCAATACAACAGCAGATGGTGTTAGACTTCAGTGGGGGCATGCAGGTCAAGGAATATGGAACCAAACTGAGGAGATGCCGTTGAGATACAGCTCAAACACATTTAGTTAAATGGGGCAATAGGCTCAAGTGGCTGAATGGCCTCCTCCTGTACCTCTGGGTGCGCTGCTGTTGCAGCCCTTTAAGGCTGCAGTTACCTGGGCAGGCTCCAGGTCAACAAGATGGCATCACTCAGGAAGGCAGCTGGTACAATTCTTCCTTCGGCCCATGGAATGTTTCATTCGGATTCTCTTTCCGAGTGAGACTTTCACACAGGTTGTAGCCTGGAGGTATGAGCGTTCCGCTCTGAGGGTAGTGCTGCACTGTCAGAGATACCAACTTGTAGATGCTACATAGCCCTGTAGAGACTGTTGTGAAATGGGCTCCGCGATAGCTGCAGGATCCACTTGGGATGATCAGACCCCTTTTGGGACATCGGACAAAATACCGTCTGTTTCGTGGACCCCGAAACCTTCCAGGCTGCAATCAGTGGCTGCGGTATTTGATGGGTAGGTTCCTCGTGCGAGGCATGTTCAGCACCACCCCCTTTTCCAATAACAAGGGGCCGTGAAGAACAGGCTAATCGATCCCAGGGGGAATTCAGGAGAAGTGCCTGCTGACAGCAAGGTGTGCAGGATCACCCTCTGTGCTAATTGGCTGCTGCCTTTCCTGTGTTACAACAGTGACTACACTCGAAAAGCACCTCATTGGTCAGGAAGCATCTTGAGACTGAGCAGCCAGGGAGGAACCATTTCCATTGGTGGGAGGATCGAGCAGGAGGGAGTGCACAGACTGAAGGTCATTGGCAGATGATGCCACCGCAATATGAGGTTGAGTGGTTCAAGACCTGGAGTGCACAGCCTAAGAATGTGGCTGAGGCAGGTCCAAACGGAGGCTTTTGTGACAATTGGATTATTGACTCGAAGATCGCAGGGAGAAGGCAGTGATTGTTGCGTTTCTCCTTCGGAGACCTGGTGCAGTCATGATGGGCTGAATGGCCTCCTTCCGTGCTGTAACCATTCTATACTTCAATGTCCTCGCAGATAGGGATGAGAATGAGGAATGTATGACCACAGGAGGTAGGTGGGTAAGTTGACAAGAAAGCTGACGTGGAGTTTAGAAGAGTGAGAGGGGATTAAATTGTCACAAGGCTAGACTGACAACAGTCACAGAGATGTACAGCACAGAAACAGACCTCTCGGTCCAACTTGTCCATGCCGATCAGATATCCTAAATTCATCTAGTCCCATTTGATTCATATCCTCTAAACCCTTCCTATTCATATACCCATCCAGATGGCTTTTAAATGCTGTAATTGTACCAGCCTCCACCACTTCCTCTGGCAGCTCATTCCATACACACACCACCCTCTGTGTGAAAAAGTCTGTCCCTTAGGTCCCCTTGAAATCTTTCCCCTCTCACGTTAAACCTATGGCCCTCTAGTTTTAGATTCCCTCTCCCTGGGAAAAATACCTTGTCTGTTTACCCTATCCATGACCCTCATGATTTTAGAAACCTCTATAAGGTCACTGCCTCAGCCTCCAATGCTCCAGGGAAAATAGCCCCAGTCTATTCTGCCTCTCCCTGTAGCTCAAACCCTCCAGTCCCGACAACATCCTTGTAAATCTTTTCTGCACCCTTTCAAGTTTCACAACATTGTGCCTACAGCAGGGAGAGCAGGGAGAATGTTTCCCCTGGTTGGAGAGTCTGGAACCAGGAGCTCTTGGGATTAGAGTAGACCATTTGGGACTGGGATGAGGAGACATTTCTTTGCTCACTGGGTGGTCAATCTGTGGAATTCTCTGCCTCAGAAGGCTGGAGAGGCCAAATCACTGAGCATTTCCAAGAAGGAAATTGATACATTTTTTAGATATTAAGGCATCAGTGCATGTGGAGAGAAAGTGGGAACATGGCGTTGAGATACAGCGTCAGCCGCAATCATATTGAATGGCGGAGTGGGATCGAAGGGCTGAATGGCCTACTCCTGCTCCTACGGAGGGAGAAAGGAACGGGGGTGTTGGTAGGATGAAGTGAAAGAGGAGTGTGAGGAGACTGCACTGAAACATAAAATGGCCTGTATTTTTGCTGGTTATTCTGTAGAATTCCCTTCTTAATCCCGGGTGCGGGGAGTACTGACAGTAAATAGCCAGTGTCAGGGAGGCAATGGCCTAGTGGTATTATCGCTGGACTGCTAATCCAGAGACCCAGATAATGTTCTGGGGACCTGGGTTTGAATCTCGCCACGGAATATGAATTCAATTTTTTAAAAAATCTGGAATTAAGAATCTGATGATGCCCATTGTCGATTTTCAGGAAAAACCTATCTGGTTCCCTTGGGGGAAGGAAACTGCCATCCTTACCTGGTCTGGCCTACATGTGACTCCAGACCCACAGCAATGTGGGTGGACTCTGAACTGCCCTCTGACCAATAAATGCTGCCTTGCCAGCAACACCCTCATCTCATGAATGAGTCAAGGGAAAAGAATCATCCCCTGACTGAGCCCGGTTAATATGAAGCAGAGCAGGGACTGTACATGTCTCAACCTCTGCAACAGATTGGATTGCTCCGAGGAGGGACAGTACGGAGGCAATGGACCAAACAGCCTCCCGCTGTGGCACCAGCAATAACAGAAGAACCACAGTTGAGATGAGGGACAATGTTTGTGAGGACCTGCCTGAGAGACTGTGGTGAAGGCAGAGTCAGTCGTGGGTTCCCAAAGGGAATCGAATCAATTATGGAGAGAAGGGATTTGCAGGGCCATGGGGCCAGGGTGGCAGGCTGTGTGTGCCCCTTATAATCACAACATGGGCTGAATGGCCTCCTTCTACCCTGTGCTCAATGGGCACCAGATGAGGCTTATCAAACATCCCATAAGCATCACAACACCAGGAGACACTCACCTCTAACCTCTGTGTGGATTTGAACCCTGACCCTAGAGGTGAAAGGTCCATGTTAAACGCACCCTTCAATTGATCCTAAACAATTAAATTGCACCTAAGTGACTCTCTCGGTGTTGGAATTTTAAAACCTGCTTTATCTGTTTGCTAGGTGTGTTACTATGGTAACAAGACCTTACACCACTTGCTAAGCTACTTCTGAAATCCAGTTTCTCCCTACATTTCAGCAAATCTCCCGCTCAACACTTTCGTGGTCATACCACACAGAGACGACACATCCAAGTTGAAGCACCCAGTGTCAAGGAACACCCTTCTGGCAACGGTCGCCAACCCATCGCCATTGGAAACCAATGGAGGAGGCCATTCAGCTGCTTGAGCCTGTCCCACCATTCATTGACATCATGGCTGATTGGCACATCAACTCCATTTTCCTGCTTCGATCCTTATCCTATTGTAGCCATTCATTGTCTTACCATTCTGTGCCTCAAATGTTCCCACAGTAATGCCCCCGACTCCTCCCACCAGCATCTGCAGCCTCTCAGTGAGGTGAGGACTAGATTTTCACATTGTGCCTGACTAACCTTTCCCCTACTTTAT